ATAAAGACCTTGAGCTGCTGCCTGCTGTCGGTGTGGAGATTAAACCCGTCACTGACTCATGAACACAGGCTGACTCTCTCCCAGCTCTCTGTCCACTGCTCACACTGGGAGGCGGGTTTACTGACGGGCAGTGAGGTGAGGTCAGAAATATCATAGTAATTTTAGATGATGACGATGTTGTGTCGTGTTTAAACGTGTTTTATGAAATAAAAAAATTAAACGGGGAAAAATAACATGTACGAGAGAGGGCGAGATAACTCGCTACCAGCCTGCTGTACTCCTGACTTGTAAATATCTCTGGAAACCCTCCTGTGTTTTTTTCCTAATTTTAAGAAAATAAACTTTTAAAAATGAAATCCCGTGTGAGTCTCTCCTGCGCGCGCCGGTGACCGTGAAGCTGCCAGAACGGGGAGGGACCCACTGACGTCACCACAGCCTGGAGGAATAGGGACTGTGACGCAGACAGGAAGTGACTCAGGGTGTTTATGGGAGTTGTAGTTTGTAACCTGCGCTGCGTCTGCGAGCAGCTACAGCAAGTCTAATACCCGGCTCCCCTTAATACAGGGATACATCAGTGTATTCAGTATTTTATGTTCGTTTGGGGTTTATTGTGAAGTTAAACTCATTCCTGGTGTTGTGTTCAGCTGTGTTTAATATATATAAACTAACCCAAAAACACGAGAGACTGCACCGGGAGATTACTGCACTGCTTCGGCAGTTTGTGTATTCAACATCATTATCTGAGGGATTATTTTTGAAACTTTGGCATGTACAGTATATATATATATTTCATTTCGCTTATTTTTGTTCCTCTGTCCTGAAACAAAACGCGCTACAATTCGTTTCTTGTTTGCCACTTTTGTTTTAATCCTAGCCGTGTCCAGACTCTCAGAACAAGCTGAAAAACTCCTAATTCTGCATCTCCGACCACATTTGAAATATTTCACTTTGTTCACTTTGCGATGCAGTGCTGTACCGCGGAAAACACTGTTGACAAAATGAGTATCGAACTTCGAGCTGTTCAGTTATTCTCTTATAAATACATTTTATTATACAAATAAATTAAACTGCTTGACTAAAATGTCTCTATGACTACAATGTTGTAAAAACATTGAATAGTGATTCAGCTGTCCACAGTTCTGACCTGTTCACGAGGCCTGCTGCTGGTGCTAACTTCAGGTGGGTCCTCTGGTTACTCTCTGGCAACCTCTGCTCTAGACTCTTAGAACAAAGGAAATTCTGGCACTCGGACACACTGGCCGTTACATGTTGTCCGGGCTGAGTCTCAGGATGGTCAGGAGGCACGCTGCGAGAATGTCCTGCCCTTGGGAGCCTTTCTGCTCCTGGGCCGTGCTGCACCACAGAGATGAAGAGAGAGATGGGGCCTCATTTGGGAAAGCACAGCAACACTTAATTCTGTCTTATTAACAAGCATTGCCGCTACA